AAAATAAAACTGATACTACCCCACCTGATAAAATTAATAGACTTACCTATATCACAAAAATTTGTTTTGTATTATTTGAGAGGGTGCCTACTCATGGGCGTCATTTGGGGGTGGCACCACTAACATAATAGAACAAATAATTGGCTCTAATGCGCCGATATGATTACTATTAAAAATTAATAAAATATTTATTACCCAGTTGCGCTGAAGTCCAAAATTTTAACTATGACATTAGACACCTCCAAATAAAATTTTGACACCCACCTATTTATTATGATTATCTTACCATACACCAAGTAAATATATATTTTGGCGCCACTGATTCATGCAAATAATTGAAATTTATTTTTTTTATCAGCTTTATCAGCATTATTATCAAATGTATCCCTATTTGATAACCGTATGAAGTGAGTCTAATATTGTGGCTTCGGTAATGCAACGCCGTGGATTCGTATCGCTATCGAAATGATAAAACATGTTCTAAAATGCATCGTATTTTCAATCTATAGCTTTCTGAAATTCAGGGCATCGAATGCTCTGATGCATCGGCACATCCCTAGGGCAACAATATTTGACGCCCCTCTCCCTCCCACCAAAAAATCTCGACTTCACATTTTTAGCTTATAATTAACCACATACCTTAAATATGTTTAATACTTATTAATTAACGGTTCCTACTTACTTTTTTTTAATATTATTATTGGAATCATATTTATTTTGTTTCTATAATGTTTTCGAAGTTGACACTGATTTCATTATTCTGGGTACACTCGTACATTACAGAAAGAAAATATATATAACTATTTTCACAAATTAGTACCAAGATTTTCTTATAAACCATACGTTCTGCGTTTCTGCGTGTGTAATAACAGTATGGTAAACAGTGTGGTATAACAGTCAACATTGTAAATTGTACCTACAAGTTAATATAAGTGAATATAATATACAGAATTCAGTCAAAATACACTAACTCGATTTATTTTAAGAAGTGGGTAAAATTGATAATGAGTTGGTTATAACTTATAAGTTATAACATAGTATAGGGGAGAGTGGGGCAGATTTGAATGAAATTTACATTTAATTTTTTTAATTTTTAATTTTTTGACAAATTTTATATTTGATAATTACAATCTGTAGTCTAGATAGTTGTGAATACTATTTGACTTATAACAACCTTCAAAATACACTAACTCGATTTATTTTAAGAAGTGGGTAAAATTGATAATGAGTTGGTTATAACTTATAAGTTATAACATAGTATACATAATATATCTTTGTGTATAATAATTACAGTAGCTACCCGAGGGTGGGGGTTGTTGATCACTGAAGCCCATAGACTGCAAGGGCCCCAGGCCCCAGCCCAACTAATAATTTACTATTTTTGTATTTGATAACAAATATCAAATTCGCATTATTTTAATGTATTTATGCATGAATCAAATTTCACTGTCAGTATAGATATTTGATGTATTATTGAAATATTATTCTATAAATATGGGGTGTTGCACGATAAATGTGTCAAACTTATAGAGGTATTTCTACACCTCAAATAGAACTATAAAAGTCCTTATGACCATAATCGAATTATCAATAATAAGGGTGATAATCTCTATGTTTGAGTTTTTTTGGTTAAACGCAAGTTTGATTCATAATAATGTTCATATCTGCTAAACCGTAATTACTACAATTAATTTAAATACATTGATGAAAAGCTCATACAATTTGGATTAGGAAAACATATACAAGGTATTACAAGGTTCCCACCTGATTTTTTTGGTAAAAACAATAACACAAATGTTTTAAAACTTTAAAATGTCGAAATTTTAAAAAATTCAGTTTTGTCTAACAATTATTTTTTAAGGCAGGGGACATAAGGACTTTGTTTGTTCCATTTGAGGTGTAGAAACACCTCTAGAAGTTTGACACATTTATCGTGCAACACCCTGTATAAAATAATGATGACATTTCTCCATATTTTAATAGGAAAATTAAAGGAGGATTATTAAACACAACAATTAAGGACCTCGCTTTGTTTATAATTTAAAATGGTTTCTGTAATCCATACTGCGATTTTCATAAATTTGAAAACCAGAAAAAAAAATCTTTGTCAAGTGAAAATATTATTTAATACTACCAAAGATATGAATTAGTTTAGTTTATAAGTATATTACTTAATTATTTTAATGATGTGTATTCATATATAAAATATATTTCATGTAAATAAATTACTATTGTAATCTTATAACTTATAACTTATAAGTATTAATATTTGTATTTGTTTTTATGAATATTGAATATATTATTGAAGTTATGTCTCATTAAGATTATCAACACATTATTTACATAATTTTATATTTAATAGTATACAATTTGATAGGTACTCATCTTTGATATTACAGTATAAACAGAAAAATAATACCTAAAATAAAAACACAACATTTTTCTTTTTATCGTTCATTTTTAGTACGCCCCCTAAATTCATAATACTTTAGACGCCATATAAATTATGTAAAAATCGATTTTTAAATGCTTATAAAAAAAAATTGTAGCTATAAATGTTTAATATTTTTCAACTGATATTGTCACAATATATCAGGTGCCTTGTATTAAATTTGTACACTTTTTAGTACAACAGATAAAACTTTATTGATATTAATTATAGAATAAAAAACTAAAACAATTGAAAACTGTATATGTCCGTAAACAGCTCAAAAAGAGTCAAATTATTTTCAATATTGTGTATAGGAAATGCTAATATAAACATTCAGTGAAATGATCATGTACCTATCTACAGTTATTCGTTTTTGAATCACAACAAAATAAGGAAATCGTTACATGAGAAATCGAGTAAAAATTTGAATTTCAAAAGCTTATTAAAATATAATTTGGCTTTCTTATAGACATTTTAGATTCTGAGTGGAAGGATGAATGTATTGATTTTACAATGATGTGGGTTTTTATTATTATTATTTTTTTTTTTTTTTGTGTCAGTGTACACGATAAGTAGTCGAAATAATGCTTCGATTTTCAACTTCAATATCTTGTTCTAAGATAACTGTAAATACATGAAAATTTCACTGAATATTTATATTAGCATTTCCTATACACCCTACAATTTTTAAAAATATTTTGACTCTTTTTGAGCTGTTTACGGACAATTACAGTTTTCAATATTTTTAGTTTTTTTGTCTATAAATATCAATAAAGTTTTATCTGTTTTGCCAAAAAATGTAAAAATTTAATACAAGGCTCCTGATATGTTGTTACAATATCAGTTGAAAAATATTAAAAATACATAGGCACAATTTTTTTTTATAAGCATTTAAAGATCAAATTTTGACAAAATTTATCAAATTTAAAATTGAATAATTATTTTTTAGTTAAAAATTTATAAAATGTTCAACTTTTATATCTAAGGATTGAAAATTTAAAATAAGATTCCACGTAAGTAGTTAATTCTGTTACCAAAAAATCTAAAAAATACATTTGCAAATTTTATTTTTATAGTAATTTTAAGTTCAAATTTGGACGAAATTACATAATAAAAAACCTAGAATAACTATTTTAGTTATTTTGTTGTGATTGTATAATATTATTCGTGGGTACTTGAAACTTCTAAAGTATAATACTATATATCTATGATAGTATCAGGGTTTGTTGTTGGTGTATAACGCTTTATAAGTACCTAATGGATATTGTGATATGATATAATATCACTGAATTCAAATGTAATACCATCCACAGACCACAGTGACCCACTTGTAACCTACTGTACAGCAGAGCACTTTTTTTTTGATAAATGTAGATAATCTTATAAGGATCTTGTATTTCATTTTAAAATCTTAGATTTCATGTATCTGCAGTTATTCGTTTATGAAAAACAGCAAAATAACAATACCGCTACATGAGAAAAAAAGCGAATATCCAATATTGTAAAAATATGAACTTCAAACGCTCATAAAAATTTAATTTGATGTGCTTGTAGACATTTTTTTTCTTGATAAAGGTAGACAATCTTATGAGAAATCTTGTATTACACTTTCAAATCTTAGATTTAAAAATTAATATTTTTATGAATTTTAACTCAAAATAATTTGCTGATTTTCATGATTATTCAATATTTTGTCAATTTTTGAACTTTAAATGATTATAAAAAAAAAACTGTGACTAATGATTTTTAATATTTTTCATCTACCTTTTAAACAACATGCTATGAACCTTGTATTAGATTTATATTATTTCAAGATTTTGGCACATTTAGAGTCAATAAAAAATTTTACCCTAAACATTTAATGAAAAATGATAAAAAATATATGCCTGGTGATATAGAGTATGCACAATCAAAAGACATTAGTGTGATGAGATGGAAAGACAAAGGAGCAAAACCAGTTACATTAATTAGTAATATGCATAATGCATCAGAGTCTACTATAGTCAACAGAAAAAATAAAAAAGGAGAGAAAATTGCAGTGATTTGTCCTGTAGGTATATCTGATTACAACGAGTATATTAGGGTGTTCCTTAGCTATAGATGATGAAAAAAAAATATCAATATGTTTTTGGGCTCGCCCCCTAAAAACGTGTGTATGCATATAAAAATGAATTACAAAAAATTTTGAGGCAATCAAATAAGGTTAACCCGTGCCGAATTGTACCTAAAGTTTAAATTAATTCAGTTTTTGAATATTTATGAGAATTTTTTATATTTTTTTAAATATTTCACAAACCGTTGAGTAAATCGAAATCATTTATATAATATGTTTTAAAGAGAACAAAATTGTCTATAAATTATGTTCTAACAAGTTTTTGATACAGTCTACTGTTCATGAGATATATTGACTCAAATGTATAAAAATACCGTATTCTCAAAATATTTACTAGGTATTAAAACTTAAAACTATATAAACATTAAATATATTATTATTAATTGTAAATATTTATTAGAGTTAATGTATTATGAAATATTTTTATTTATTGAAGTATATATTTAATGATTTAAATTAATATAATTTTTTTAATGTTTCCTTTTTACAATTTGGATACATTTTTTTGTGTTCTTGAACACATTGTAGTACATATTGTTTTTGCTCTTCGTTGACTGTTAACGCTTCATTAAAGTCTGCCATTAATTTAACGCCCCTCTCAGCTGTATCATTGACTACTTTTAGAGATTTTATTAATTCTTTGCCATTAACAAAACTGATATGGTTATCCCACGATTTAGGATCGTATTGTAAAAAACTTGTATCGATACCAAATCTGGTGAATAGTTTTAAGCTATTTTCTGAAATAAATTTATCAATATTCATTTCTGTAAAATATAAAAATAATTTCAAAAATAAATTGTATTAGTTTGTATTATTATTTACTTTCCATTAATGTCATTATTTTAAATAATGTACTCACCATTAAATTTTTCATCTATCTGATATGGTTGAAGTGTAAGTCGTTTAGTCGAATTAATGGATGATTTTTTCTTAAGAGCTTGTACCATTAAATGTTTTGTTTCAAAAGGTATCGATTCGTCGAAAAACGATAGGGCAGCAGCTTCATCAGTTAAATACCACAAGTGATTACATAATTTTTTGATAGCGGCTGTAGAGATTTGACTATCAACTATTTCGTAGGATTTTAAAGATTTAATAAATTGTAAATTTAGGTTTGGAGCTTTTATTGGCAATGTACATGTAAACCACGTTTTGACATAAAATGTAACGATGAAAATACAAACTTCCCCAATTGCTTTTTTCTCAGTGGCAGAAATATGATACTGATGTCTAAATATAAATATTTTCAAGCAATAGATTGCTCGAGCCATCTATCGAGCTTGATGCATTGCACCCGGTGGATGAATTTTAATTTTTTTTTCAAAATTTCCACCAATGAATATTAATACCAATTCTAAAAACTCATTGTAATCATCACGAGAATTTTTTATTTCTAATTGACTTCGTACAAAATTAAGAATATCTTCCCTGATATTTTCTATGGCACTACTACAATATTGATCTTCTAATCCACTTATAAAATTACTAGAATCAATATCAATCCATTTTTTTTGAAAATTTTTGAATAATGGAATAGATGGGCTAGTAGTTACTTGTGGTATTTTAGTTTCAAAAACACTTCTTAACACCAACTCGTATATGTGGTGTCTGCATGGGAGGTAGAGTAAATCTTTGTCTAATTTTTGTTCAATACGAATACATGCTCCATTCAAACGGCCTGTATTCGATGAAGTAGTATCACAACATAAACCTTGCACAACATCTAATAAAGTATAAACCCCATTCATCTAAAGCATTATATACAGCGGTCGCTTGTTCTTCACCGGTTGACCTCTGAAGTATTGGAACTCCGATGATTACGATACGATAAAGTTATCTATAAAATTATTGTCAGCCACTATAATATATAAACTCTTACATTAGAATAATATATAACATATCTAATGAATAATTATCATTATTTATAAAAATTTTAGTTTTAACAGTAAATATTTTGAGAATACGGTATTTTTATACATTTGAGTCAATATATCTCATGAACAGTAGACTGTATCAAAAACTTGTTAGAACATAATTTATAGACAATTTTGTTCTCTTTAAAACATATTATATAAATGATTTCGATTTACTCAACGGTTTGCGAAATATTTAAAAAAATATAAAAAATTCTCATAAATATTCAAAAACTGAATTAATTCAAACTTTAGGTACAATTTGGCACGGGTTAACCTTGCTTGATTGCCTCAAAATTTTTCGTACTTCATTTTTATATGCATACACAAGTTTTTAGGGGGTGAGCCAAAAAAATATTTAAATTTGAAAATTAAGGAACACCCTAGAGTATATGGGTGGTGTGGACAAATTCGACCAATATATGGCTAATTATTCAATATCCCAAAAGTCTCGTCGTTGGTGGTTGAAGTTATTTTATTACATGATTGATACTGCTGTTGTAAATTCATTTATTTTATACAAAGATAGTTGCAATACAATGAAAAAAAAAATATTAATCAATTGGAATTCAGATCAAGACTTACTGATGAGCTTATAAGTGATTTTAGTTCTAGAAAAAAACAGACTTCATCACCTCAAGATAGAATTATAAAAAAAAAAAATGAAATTGTCCAACATAAGTCCATCATTTAAAAATGTTGAACATTTACCAAAATGTATAAAAAAAATATAGGCGTTGTAAAATGTGTAGTACTAAAAAAAATGAAAAAAGGTCTAATATAGTATGTATAACTTGTGAGGTGACTCTATGTAAAAATTGTTTTGAACTATATCACAAACAATAACTTATCAAAACACATAACATATGTTTATTAATTTTTTAACTATTATGTTTTTATTTCTTATAAATTCTTATATCTTAATATATATAAATCTCGTGTCACAATGTTTGTCCTCTATGGACTCCTAAACCACTTAACCGATTTTGATGAAATTTTTTACACTATGTGTAATTTGGTCAAACTTAAAAGATAGGCTAATTTAAAAAGGGAGAGGACCAACCCCAGGAGGTGCTCAAAAGGGAATTTTGAGATTTCCGATGGACATTTTTGTTTATAAATGGTTGCCATGGGTTTTTAAGCTATTACAATAATAAAAAAAAAAAAAAAAAAACTATTTGCTTTACTTTTTAAATATAAATTGTAATCTAATATCTAACTATAAAATTGTGAAATGAAAATCTCTGTACTACTTATCTCTGGAGCTACTTATCAGATCTTCTTGATTTTTTTTTAAGCGAAAGAGTATTTCATGGATAAGGTTTGTATGAAAAAAAAAATGTTAGGAAAATCCACCGGTGTATAATATATTGGTTGCTATTGGTTAATCGGGCATGTTCTTGATTTGTATCATTATTTTTAGTCAATATACATATAATATATATAATAAATACAAAAAGATCTGATAAGTAGTTCCAGAGTCTGTATAGTTATAGTCCGTGTATTTTTATAGTTATATATATATATATATATATATATAAATTAATGTTTGTGGGTAGATTAGACGTCTGGGAAGAAGATAGGTTAATTTACTAAGGGTTAAATTTGTTTTTTTTTTCATCTGATTTTAGTACGGTTAGGTTAGGATAGGATTTTGTATAAAATGATTATAATAATCCACCTTAGGCGAAATGAAGTAAAAACGATAAACTTGGTATAACTTTGATACTTTAGAGTTAAATCATACACTTACGTTCAAACAGCACAGGGTACGCGATCTATCGCAGGTAGATTACTGTTGCGAATCAGAATTTTTATTCGGGGCAACGGAAAAGTTAAGATTAATTTTGAACACCGCATACACCGAATATTAAATAACGAATTGAACAAACTTTGAGACATATAGAATTGATACATTTAACGGGGCAACGAAGTGCACGGGATCAGCTAGTTATTATATATAATTTTCATAAAGTTGAGTTTGTTTTTATTTCTTATATACATAATACATATATTTATATTATATTATTATATATAATTTTAATAAAGTTGAGTTTGTTTTTTTAATATTTTTGTATTATTTTTAAAGAGTTATATTTATTAATATTCAAAATTCTTCAATTTTTTAAAAGACAGTTGTTTTTTTTATTTTTATAAAATAAAAACTGGGTATATTTTCTTAGGTGGGAAATATATAGCCATTGCCCATTGCAGTTTTTATATACCGTAGAAGGGCATTGGAATACTATTTTCCCACCACTTTTCCAACTATGCAAAGCATATTAACATTTTTCCAATATTTTTCCCAAAATCCAAGAACTCTAAACTATATGTGTACCAATTTTCAGAATCATTGAATGTTTTATTAGGTTCTGCCCTATAAAGGGTTTTAATAACAATTTGTTGCATTCTAAGTTATATTAGTATAATGGTATAATATGTAATATGTTTTCCGTTAAATAAGCCGAATCGACATCAAAGACACTTGTAATATTAGCTTATATCCAGTGCCCCAACTTGGTATATTATAACGATGAGTGTTCAAGCAAATATCATGGGACCCATGTACCACCAAGTCCTTGGAAAATAACACCGTATACTGTATAGTATTATTACATAATATGTGACCGCCGAGCCGGTAAAGTGGGCTGATTATTTTATTTGTTATCCCTTTTAAAATTCATAAAAAATAAAAACTAATTTTTCTTTTGTTTTTCTTGGCGCTTTTGAAAAGTACTGGGAATTTTAAATGTTTCCCTCCTCAATGCACCAACGATATTCACTTTCCAATCGAACAAGATACTGAAGTCGAAAATCGAAGCATTATTTCGACTACTTATTGTGTACACAGACACAAAAAAAAATAAAAACAATTAAAAAAAAGGTGGGTAAGTGGATGTCGCTCTGCTGTACAGTAGGTTACAAGTGGGTCACTGTATAATGGATGGTATTAAATTTTAATTCAATGATACAATATCATTGTATAAGAAAAACGATTCTGAGCGAAGACGGTATGTCAGTCTAGGTTTAAGACAAATTATATACAAATCTATGGTATTAAAAAAAAATTGACCTATAATAAATTCCAAATTAATCATATCACATTATCACAATATCCATTAGGTACTTATAACACGTTATACATCAACATCAATAACAAACCCTGATACTATCATACATATATAATAGTACACTTTAGAAGTTTCAAGTAGGTAATAATATTATATAATCACAACAAAATAACTAGGTTTTTTAATATGTAATTTCGTCCAATTTGAACATAAAATGACTATAAAAATAAACTGTGATTGTATATTTTCTAGATTTTTCGGTAAGAGAATTAACTACTTACGTGGAATCTTGTTTTAAATTTTCAATCCTTAGCTATAAAAACTGAACATTTTATAGTTTATTAATTACAATGATTAATAATTTTCGAGATTTTTAAAAATTCTGTCAAAATTCGATGTTTAAATGCTTATAAAAAAAATTGTGCCTATGTATTTTTAATATTTTTCAACTGATATTGTAACAATATATCAGGAGCCTTGTATTAAATTTTTACACTTTTTGGCCCAACAGATAAAACTTTATTGATATTCATAGAAAAAAAAACTAAAAAAATTTAAAAATGAAAATGTCCGTAAACAGCTCAAAAAGAGTCATAATATTTTCAAAATTGTATGGTGTATAGGAAATGCTAATATAAACATTCAGTGAAATTTTCATGTATCTATAGTTATTCGTTTATGAATAACAACAAAATAAGGAAATCGCTACATGAGAAATTGAGTGAACATCCAATGTTGTAAAAATTTGAATTTCAAACGCTCATAAAAATTTAATTTGACTGTCCGGTAGAGATTTTTTTATTGATAAAGGTAGACAAACTTATGAGTAATTTTGTATTACATTTTCAAATCTTAGATTTAAAAAGAAAAATTTTTACGAATTCTTAACTCAAAATAATTTGCTAATGTTCGTGATTTTTCCATATTCTGTCAATTTTTGAACTTTACATGCTTAAAATAAAA